GTGCTACGTGTCGTACGACCTGGAGCTGGACAAGCGGCTGAGCGAGGACACGACGGTGCTGGTGGAGAGCTACACGCTGCCGGACGGGCGGGTGATCCGGGTGGGCAGCGAGCGGTTCGAGGCGGCCGAGTGCCTGTTCCAGCCGCACCTGGTGGACTGCGAGCAGCCGGGCATGGCCGAGTTCCTGTTCAACACGATCCAGGCGGCCGACGTGGACGTGCGGTCGTCGCTGTTCAAGGCCATCGTGCTGTCGGGCGGCAGCAGCATGTACCCGGGCCTGCCCTCGCGGCTGGAAAAAGAGCTCAAGCAGCTGTGGCTGACGCGCGTGCTCGGCGGCAACCCGGAGCGGCTGAGCAAGTTCAAGGTCAGGATAGAGGACCCGCCGCGCCGGCGCCACATGGTGTTTCTGGGCGGCGCCGTGCTGGCTAATATCATGGCTGATAAGGAGAGCATGTGGATCACCAAGGAGGAGTGGGCGGAGCAGGGGTCAAGGGTGCTGGAGAAGCTGGGGCCGCGATAGGGTTTACTAGGTACGTAGAGAATGACAGCGAGTGAATTGGGGTCTGTCTGTGGATGTTCACGACCTGATAGCCTTATCGCCTTTATATTGTGGAAATGAACTGAAATGAAATGGAATGCTATAATTCATGGACAATGAGGAGATGTTGGGTTTTGATGAAAATCATTATAGATTGCCCCCAAGAAATAAGAAATACGAAAGAATAGGTACAACGAACATGTGTAGATATTACCCAGTGAACTTGCATTCTGGTGTTCGTATTTTTATTTGGTAGCTTCCAATCTCTTGATGTTGTATAAATTGGCGGGAGAATGTCTGGCTGCTGCGCCACGACGGTTGTGTTCTACTAGCCACAGTGCGCCGTTGTGGAACTTAAACCAGAACCTTGCCTTCCTACCTAAGTTTTGATCATCAAGCATTACAGATGGATGTTTAAATAAATTATATAGAGCCGGCTTGCGATTTGTTAGTTTGGGGGAATAGCTGGAATGTTTAATATGTGATTGATGAGTTGTTTGGAAATAAGGTGATTTTAGTGTTTTCCCGTGAGATTTATTGCCGATGACTTGGAAGGCTTACTTCGATACTTGGTACAGTATTATCTACAGTGTCTAGGGGCGACCCACTATATTACAGCGCTTGAGGCACACTTAAGCACCGGTATGAACATGAGCCATAAGAAGGAACTTATAAAATAGAACTCGAGGTATCTATACAAATATTCCATACGAAATCGCATGTACTTTTTATTATTGAATTCCTGATTATATAGAAATATATTCCATGATTGAGCGGAATGTTGCTCGAGGTGAAATGCGCCTCGGCAGGTAAGGTCAAGGTTAAGGGTGATTGATAGGTGATGGCCCGCCTCAGGCTTCGCGTTCCCGTCGGCTCGGGCCTTTGCCTTTGCCTTTGCCTTTGCCCATCGACCCGTCCGTTCTCTCATCTTCAAGTTTCATCTCACCAACATCATTCAATCAATTAATCAATCACTGCTCTTACCACTCACATCTCATACCACGCACAGCACGATCAATACTACCCACCTACTTACTTACCGTACTCCATAACAAAGTAACCACCACACAAATACATACACGTGCCAGATCTCACCGATTGATCATCGCTCATCGCTCACCGCCCATACCGCCTGTCTGTCCTGATCTCCACCTTCGGTTCCGGGCTTACCGGCTCTCACGGCGCGGGGGTACACGACAGTCGGGTAATCCTGTCGTCAGAAAAGGGCGGGCCAGCCACCTCGCCAGCCAGCCATGAGCAGCACCAACCCACCCTCGGCAGCGTCGGGGCCCGCCTCGGTATCCGCACGGCCCCAGCCCTTGAAGAGGAGCGTTCAGGCCGCCTTTGATGGTGAGTAAGATGAAGATGACATGATGATATCTCGTCAGCCCAGTTCTTTTTATCTATCCTTGCATCACATCGCATCGCATCTTATCACCACCAACAACAAACAACAACAACAACATGTCTCGACACCAACGCCAACAGTAAACAATATTAGACAACAAAGCCCTGCCCCCCGAAATCCAACATCTCTTCCCTTTTTTGTTTGTTTTGTTTTGCTTTGCAACACTACACTACGCTACGCTAGACGACTAGTGTCGAGGCGGCTTGCGACTTGCGACTTGCGACTTGCGACTTGCGACTTGCGACTTGCGACTTGCGACTTGCGACTGAACCACTGAACCACTGAACAAACGACGCTGCTCTCTCCTTCACTCTGCGACCAATCCTCATTTCCACATGTCTGCCGTTCTATGGATCATCGCCCATTCCCCACCCACTCGAGAGCCTACTATGGCGCAAACTACCACCAAGCTGCCATAAACAGTGAGTGTCCACCGCGATTACATAACGGAAAGAAACTCACTCCCTCCTCCGTCTCCGAGTCTGGAGAGATGAGTGAGATCTTTGGTTCGGACATGTGGCCCGTCCATCCCACACCCACGTCAGCCCTAGTCATACAAACCTTGCACACTCTCATCATCATGCATATACACAGACAGATCGATAGCTAAATACTATACCCCAAAACAGATCCCAACGACAGGGGCAGCAAGGGAGGCTACCAGTCCAAGGTCAAGGTCATCGACAAGTACCACGTCGTCGGCTTCATCAGCAGCGGCACCTATGGCCGCGTCTACAAGGCCACCGGCCGCCAGGGCCAGCCCGGCGAGTTCGCCATCAAGAAGTTCAAGCCCGACAAGGAGGGCGAGCAAATCCAATACACGGGCATCTCCCAGTCCGCCATCCGCGAGATGGCCCTGTGCTCCGAGCTGAGCCACGAGAACGTCATCCGCCTCGTCGAGATCATCCTCGAGGACAAGTGCATCTTCATGGTCTTCGAGTACGCCGAGCACGACCTGCTGCAGATCATCCACCACCACACCCAGCAGCCCCGCCACAGCATCCCCCCTTCCACGGTAAAGAGCATCATGTTCCAGCTGCTCAACGGCTGCCAGTACCTGCACTCCAACTGGGTCCTGCACCGCGACCTCAAGCCCGCCAACATCATGGTCACGTCCTCGGGGCGCGTGCGCATCGGCGACCTCGGGCTCGCCCGCCTCTTCCACAAGCCGCTGCACTCGCTCTTCAGCGGCGACAAGGTCGTCGTGACGATCTGGTACCGCGCGCCGGAGCTGCTGCTCGGAAGCCGCCACTACACGCCCGCGATCGACATGTGGGCCGTAGGCTGCATCTTCGCGGAATTGTTATCGCTACGACCAATATTCAAAGGCGAAGAGGCCAAGATGGACAAGAAGACGGTGCCCTTCCAGCGCAACCAGATGCAGAAGATCGTCGACATCATGGGCATGCCCACCAAGGAGCGCTGGCCGCACCTCGTCAGCATGCCCGAGTCCGTCAACCTGGGCTCGCTGACGCCTATGGTTCTCGCCAACCATCACCATAATCATCATCATAATAGCCATCATGGGAAATCGTCTCCGGCGGCCTCGACGAGCCATTTGGAAAAATGGTATTATGGCACTATAGGAGGCGGACATGCCTCCTCATCGTCGCATGCTGCGTCGAATAATAACAATAGCCTTGCCTCGCTTGGGGCCGAGGGGTATCGCCTGCTGTCGAGTCTGCTGGAATATGACCCCGAGAAACGCCTCTCGGCGGAGCAGGCGCTGCATCATCCGTTTTTTGGCATGTCTGGCTCTTCTACGGGGGGGTTATCTGTGGGTAGTAGTATGGGTGGTGCCGGTAGTGGTGCCGGAGAGTATATCAGCAAAAACTGCTTCGAAGGCCTCAAGACGGCGTACCCGACGCGCCGCGTCAGCCAGGACGATAATGATATACGCACGAGCAGTCTTCCGGGGACGAAGAGGTCGGGGTTGCCGGATGATAGTGTGGTGAGGCCGGGGAAGCGGTTGAAGGAGGGTTAGGAATCCCGGGATGGTGGCGATGATATGTTAGTGGGGGAAGAGGGGAAAGGAAAGGGGAGGGAAGGGGAAGAGGCAGGGGAAGAGGAAGGGGGAGGGGAAGGGGAAGGGGAAGAGGAAGAGGAAGAGGAAGAGGAAGAGAAACAGAAACAGGAACAGGAACAGGAACAGGAAAGGGAAGAAGTAGTTGTTATTCCTTTGGGGTGAAGCGGATGAGATGAGTGGAATAGGTGGAACAAGTGAAATATCTGGCTTGAGGGGAGAGGAGAGGGAACAGGAAGATGGAAGGAGATTGTGTCCGTTTTTAGTGGAGGACAAGTATGAGTGTAAGCATGAGTATGAAGAGGGGACCACGACGGGGTTGACACGCCATGATAAGGGGGAGGAGATATACCCTCCTAGGTAGTTAAAAGTATGATGGCGATCATCATTATTATAGAGACATAACGAAGGAAACAATAAGAGAAACAGCGGGCGAAGTCCTAGCGGCGATTTAGAGAGTTGAATCAAACATGGGGGAGAAGTGAGAAGAAGAAATCTCCATTGATGTGAAATGTAGAGTGCTTAATAGGACCTTGGCCCGAGTTGAGCCTAATGGGGTTGTCAGGTGTTTTTGTACAAGAGTGAAGGAATCTAATAATAATCACGTAGTCAAGTAGAATATCGAGGGTAAGGTGTTAAATCTATTGATTCCTGGGCTCCCTTAAGCCCTTGTGGTCGCCCAGTGCTTATATACACGACTCTAATACCCAAATAGCAGATCCGACAGTTTTGCGACTGGTTGGAATCGAAGCCTATACACTAGCAGACAGGCGCGTAGAGACTTAGGAAGACGGGCCAAGCTAGCAAAGACTTCAACTTTAATGAGGCATTTGATGACATCTCATTAATTACAGATGCAAGAAAGCTGCTATTCTGGTCTTTAAACGTAGGCATCTGGCAAAGTTCGCATCATATAGTACTACATCTGCGCTCCTACCGCCTACTAATTTTCCTTGGGCGGGCGAGAACGAAAACAAACGCTCCAACATAGTTGAACTTACTTTGCTCGACTTTGCAACAATCACCAATTCGGACCCTTAGTTCAGTTGGTAGAATATGTGATTCCAGCTTGCTCCAATGGCAGTTAGTTTCCACAAGGTCATCCGTTCAAATCGGGTAGGGTTCAATTCCTGAAAGCTCCACTATTACCAAGGCGGTTCTCTTTTTGCTACCCTGCACTGTGTTTAGGGCTAACTTTTTCGTCCCTTACGCTGGATGTCCTTGTTGAATTCATGCCATAAGCTATAATAGTTTTTATTTATTTATAGCTCCGGTGGCCCAGATATTATAGTACTATTTAACAAAACAATCATCTTAAGGGGATGAGCGAGAAAGCCATCCGCGCAACCCAGCAAGGCAAGCTATAAGTAGATAGTCTTGATCTATTGCAGACTCGGGGACTTGATATCTTTGTGCCGCTGGTATCTGTGTTATTAACACCAACTGGGCTTGCAAGTCGGAGTGAGGATGGTAATTAAAGATAATGTTTTTCACCCCTAAGCCGAGTGGGAGATCAGGGATTATAAACTTCTAAACTAGTGGCTTTCACTATTATGAATGAAAGTCTTCAATTGGATGTGTGCTATGCTATGCCTCCTTGTTTGCATTCATCACAAGACAACCTGGATGCAATTCCTATTCTCCTACCTTTGTTAATATCAACTGAGGTTTGTGAAGAAGCCAATACTGGCTAGGTTGTCACAGTTCACACTACTAGAAGTCTAGTAAATAACTTTTGTTATTGTATAAGGAGAGAAGACTCTCCTTCTACTTCTTAGGGCTCGAAACTAATATATATACCTAATTAGTAGCAGTTCGTAGGTTATTCCGTACCGAGCCGCTAGCGAACCGTGACATAGGTTGCCCATCTTTGAAATATCTAAGTCAACAAGTAAATAATAAAACCCAAAGTATCTCTTAAAAGTTAACTAGGTGCTACACTCTCTAGAAATTCGGGCTGAAACAACAAGTTAACCTGGTAACCCTGTATCCCTTGACTAATGCGGGGATGGCTTTGTTATTGTGTGACTTGTGATAGTGAAACTGTGTTACCTTGTCGACCTTGCCTGCAATAGATGGCGAGTTACCAGGTCAGTTGCAACGCCAGGTTTAGTGTTTGTGAGGGGTCACTGGCTATATTGAAAGCTTTGACCGCTGTGTCTTCCGCACCTCTAACTACAACCCTCTTATCGCTATACCATACCCTGATATTTAGTTGCATTGACTCAACGATTCTCTTTATATTAGATCAACAATAGGACAAGATTTGAAACTCTTCACCCCTTGCTCACCTTGTCTGCAATGTCCGCCAACCCTGAAGCCAAAACCAAGACCTACGTCTTCCTCACTGGCAATGCGGTTTGTCTTGCCCTTGGTACCTGCAATACGGTGCCTCGCCGTATTAAAAGTTATTGCCCAGATCACCTAGAGCCCTCTGACTTGTTTCTGGTATACATAGCCATACAGGGAGAACAAACACAACACGTCGCGCATGATCCGCGACGCGACCCCAAGTCTCATCACCCGCCCAGGCAAGCAAGACATCGTCGTCCTCAAGTACCGCCGCGACTCGCTCGACGTGTATGCCGACGTGTTGGAGATGGCCGAAGAAGTCTGGGCAGCGCGGCGGTCTTCCTTTCTGCCCCCGCATAGACCCGATACTCTCCGCAGCCGCGAAAGCGCGGATGGAAACGAGGACGAGATCGTGGACCTCGCCTTTGGCGTCCACCTGGGCATGACGACCGCGGTTCCCGGGTTCCGCGCCGAGAAGATCGCGTACCGAGAGGGCTACCAACGGCCTGGTGAGGACGGCGTCTACGTCGACGAAGCGCACTTCCGAAACCTCGGGCTTCCGGAGAGTCTTAAGCCGTGCTTTGATAATGATGCGGCTGTTGCCGAGGTGCGGGGGAAGTTCGAGGTAGGTTAACCTATGTTTGCTTTGACTTTCGTCTCTGTGGTTTTCCAAAACCATTATGACTCGTAAACGCTATGAAACATCGCCACGTATAGATAATCACTGTTGACCGATCCTCCCTGCAGAATCTTCCCATTCGAGCCGACGACCACCCGAATCAAGGCTTCTGCGAATACAGACTTTACGCGTCGCTTGCGCAGCTGCACCTAAAGCATCCGTCGAAGCGAGGGAGAGCGGTCTTTCTACACGTTCCGAAAGACCAGTCGCCAGAGGCTATCAGGGTTGGGGCGGATGTTGTTGAGGCGTATATTATTGCGCTTGTTGAGCAGCTGGAGAAGGCGGAATCTTAGGGATGAGACTATCGATTCGACTTTTGTAGAAAGGCGATTAAGATGTTGTGATCTACTGCAAGCTCTGTTAAGTGAGTTATAATATTACGTATATTTCAGGAACAGTACGGCAGGGACAATAAATCTATACCACATGTCCATGAGGACATGCATATTTACTATACTCTTGGCTTGGCGCCACGTGCAATTCATTGAAAACACACACCCAAGGTGCACGAACAATTGATATATGGTGGCGAATAGACATCTGAGATCATGGGGTTGTAGATGTTCTACTCGTAGCATAGGATCTGACGTTGTATGCCGAGCGCCCACTATGCTACACAAAAGTCCTCATGCAACATCCAATCCTCGGCTGCAGTACAAAGAGAATTTAGTACTCACGAGGATAGTGTCGTAACATCCTCATCTCGCACAGGATGTCTTGTGGATGGTAAGAAAGCCGAGAGGACCTAGGGATCAACATAATTACAGAAACTCATGTAATCAAGTATGCTTACAGATGCCGATGCCAAGCTTAAATACGGTGTCGGGCGTATAGGTACAGGCCACGACTCGCCCATCGATGCAGGCTGAGGTGGCGTTTGGGGTAAATAACTGAAAATAACAGGAGGCATACCAATGAGAAGTTATCAAGTGCTCACTTACAGCTGGACATCATATGCTTATTTACGAAACGTCTATATTCCTAGTCCATTAATTGCAATAGAAACAAGACAAAATTCAAATTCGATAATGAAATATTTGGAATAGTCCCAACTTGTTTGTTGTGTATGATGATAATCTAGCTAGTTACGTATACTCATGCTGCCGTGTGTGTGTGCGTGCTTGATGCTACGACCCCTGTGTTGTGAACAATAATGGAGGTCTGTACATCTCCCGTCGCTATTAGGGTTAGGGTTCCCTAACCCTAACCCTAACCCTAATAGGTCGATATCATCACTGCAGACAATGATCTCTCCCTCATCATATAATCACCACATGCTCTTACGAAACTTCGAAGGTGTTCGGCATGTATGAAATTTAATTTGCCGAAATGGATTCCTCGATTGTGCCTCACTCTAAACTTCGTCAATCGGGTTATCGCCAATGCCTCGAACAAAGCGCTGAAGGCTAGAGGCGACTGGGGACGATGACAACGACACCGACGAGGTGGGCGAGAAACGACGAGACTCCATGACCAAACTGACCTCCTCTTCATGTGATGACTCATCCTCGTCTGCTGCCGACAATCAGCTCTTCTCTTCTCAACTCAGGAACATGACTCCGACTCCCGAACCTTGATAAAGAGCTAGAACGGCTGTTGAAGATCCGGCTCCTCGGGACAATACCCAAGAACGCAAGCAACAACAAGTTGCGTATCTTCTTCCATGGGGCTGACTGTAACGAGACGATTCACTCACCCCATGCTTCGACTCGTCACATCACAGAAGGATCGCGACGTCGGAATGCCGATATCTGTACGCGGTTCTAACTGCCTTGAACCTTGCAATATCGTGTTCCCACGAAACAACTAGCGTAGTTGACCATTTACCCTGGTGCGAGACTCCGAGTTGCACGACAGTCCTATCAATCGCAGCATGTTTGTCACGCCCAGTCCCGATCCCAACCTGTATCGTTGCATCTACGCCTATATATAGCAACAACAGGATGCTGCAGGCCAGAGCTGGCGCAGATCAACCCTGCTCTCCTTCCCGGACCAAACTTCTTGCAATGAAAAGTACTATGCTTACTATAGTATACCCGTATACCAACTTCAATACAACGCACAGCTATCCAGGTTAAACCCCTTCGACTACATGGCATGTTCTACACGCCTACTATAGACCCGACCAGGTATGCTAGGCTCCCATCATCATTCCGCGATTACCTCATTCAGAAGTATCCGGTCCTCTCACTCGATGAGGCGTTTGGACGCTGAACCTGAGAGCTCTGCCGCGGTAAGTTATTGGCGTAGAATGCATTCTACTCTGGGAATAGGGGCCCGATCAGGTATTACCGGCATCGCAGCAGCCAGTCTATGACAAGGTTTGAGTATTTATGACTGTCAACATCGAAGCTCAATGTCTCGAGGAATAAGTTCGCCACATCGCAGCAAACATCCACGAAAAGGTTAATTATTTACGACTGTCAATACTGAAGCTCGACACCTCGGGTAATAATCGGACTCGTCAAATCTCACGTCATCCCACCATCACCACCATCATCACCTCCTCAAAAGCGTCAGCACGACGACCTGTTCCCCGCCCGTCTTCACCAGCATCTGCACAAGAATCAAAGATGGCGCACCTCATACAATTCGAAAAGACGTCCTGCTACGCCCAGAGCGAGGAGGAGGCCAAGTTCATCTACAAGGAGATCTTCGAAGACGGGTGCTACGACGTGGCCGGCCTGCCAGAGGCGCCGTTCATCGTCGACGCAGGCGCCAACATCGGCATGTTCTCGCTGTTCGTCAAGCAGAAGTTCCCAGCCGCCAAAGTGCTAGCCTTCGAGCCGGCGCCCGAGACCTACGGCCTGCTGCGCCGCAACCTCGAGCTGCACGGGCTCGCCGACGACGTCGAGACGCTGCCCTGCGGCCTGGCGGCGCGCGCCAGCACGGAGAAGTTCACGTACTTCCCCAACCTGCCGGGCAACTCAACCCTAAAACCCGAGGAGAAGAAGCAGATGGTCGAGCTCGCGCGCGAGAGCCGCGGCGACGAGGTGGCGGATCAGATCTTCCGCGGCGCGCAGGAGTTCGACGTCAAGCTCGAGCGCCTGTCGGACGTACTGAGCCGCCGGCCCGAGTTCGCGGCGATCGACTTCCTCAAGGTCGACGTCGAGGGCGCCGAGCTCGAGGTCCTGCGGGGCTTGGACGATGTGCAC